AGGTGGGTGGCGCATTTACGTTATAGATGTCTATGGGCTCCAGTAACCACTTAACACCAGGTGGGCTGGGAGCTCGTCCAACCATCTAAGCAATAAAAAAAAACATTTTAGGTTTCATACAAAATAAATATGATTTGAATTTGGCGCCATTACGTCTATGCCTAATCCATCATGGCCGCCGCTGGCTGTTCAAAATATTATATTTTACTTCATCATAAAATGCCCCAACAACGAGAGTGCATTACCTGCATTTCCCAGTAGGCTTCTGTCTGCAGTATATATTATGGCTTTTCATACTGTCCAGTAAAATGACATAAATAATACTTTGAAACCTATTTTTACTCAAAGCAATGAGCGATTTTTTTAAGGGATTGTATGACCTGATAACTAAGACCATGTCATGTCAAATAAAACAAATCACACAACTTCACAATTGAAGATGCTACTTGCTATTACTTTCCACTGCTGCACATAGGCCTCACATCCGCCATGCCTCGCCACAACGACCGGTGCCTGCATCTAGCCAATTTCCACCACCCTCAACAGGTCGTGGGTCCACTTTGTGGGAGGCCTACTCACAAAATAGACACCTTTTTAATATAATATAAGGTACCTTCTCCGTGCATCGTATTCGTCAATGCAGAGGGTCGCGACCACCCTTTTTGACCACTTTCTCTCGCACGATTTTTTTCCATCTATTTCTGTCTCTAACGGAACAGACAAAAGATAAGATAAATCTGAATAAAATTATACTGCCGTAGAATTTGCCGTCGAGCTCCCTAGCCGGTTCAGCAAGCAATGGATAGATACACAACGTAAATTAATCTAGAAACATCTAGAAGCCATTGTCTAAAACGGTGTTTCCCAACGTGGGGCCCACGCCCCGCAAGAGGGCTATTTGATAATTAAGATGGGCAATCTCACTAAATTAATATAGAAAATCTGTATTATCATTATTTTGAATTCGTATTTCAGTTTTTTATTATAGGTTTTGAAATATTACTTACTGTGTTTTGATAACGATTTCATTGTGATTTCTTCTTAAAACCTATCATTTATGTTTGTTTCATAAGTGAACAAATAAGTTTTTTAATATTAAAAATTTATGTATGGGGGCATAACAAATTTTTAAAAACCTTTTTTTACAATGGGGCATGGCACAAAAAAGGTTGGGAAACATCGGTCTAAGGGATACTGGTATCACACCACTGCGCCGATGCTCAATTCCTGCAGGCTGGTCAAAGGTTTTTAACAAAATAGCTACGGAGCCCATCATGAAATTCACAGATGAAACAATAATATTATACACAATAATATTGTGACTGTATAATAACTACATAAACTACACCGAAGACTGTTTGTGCGTTGATATTACACATTCAATATCCGCACAAATGTAACTATCAATTTGATACAGTCTGATCCCGATATGTAGGCAGCGGCTTGGCTCGGCCCCTGGCATTGTTGAAGTCCATGGGCGACGGTAACCACTCACCATCAGGTGGGCCGTATGCTGGTCTGCCTACAAAGGCTATAAAAAAAAGAGAGAAAAAAATGTTCACGTGGCAGCGCATTAAAAACGAACAAATAAACAACTTTATTTTTATACTAGCGTCCCGCCCGAGCTTCGCTTCGAGAACTGTAATTTATTATTGATCTTATGAAATTTTCTATCTTTATCTTTTATGATATCGCCCACTCTGTTGTTTATAGTCATAACTATTCAAATATTTGTCCCAAAGTCAAAGTTTGTATACTGTAATTACCAGACGCGATAAAAGTATTTATTTTCACATAAGGATCAATTTGTGACTACCAAATGTGCGTTTATAAATTATGATATGAATTTTTATTGCATTTTTAGTTCACTATTTTGGCGATAATGGCTTACACATAAAAGAGAGGTATATGCTGTCACGGGTTTTTTTGTGTTGTAGAATTATTTAAGATAAACTGGTGGTAGGACCTCTTGTGAGTCCGCGCGGGTAGGTACCACCACCCTGCCTATTTCTGCCATGAAGCAGTAATGCGTTTCGGTTTGAAGGGTAGGGCAGCCGTTGTAACTAAACTTGAGACCTTAGAACTTATATCTCAAGGTGGGTGGCGCATTTACGTTGTAGATGTCTATGGGCTCCAGTAACCCCTTAACACCAGGTGGGCTGTGAGCTCGTCCACCCATCTAAGCAATAAAAAAAAAACATTTCCATTATACATTATTTATGTCTAACTCCAACGGTTTCTGTATCGTATGCATATATTATTATATCTCGTAGATGGTAGATTTTGTTTCAACTTACTTGACAGTTATCATTATATTTTGAGTAATTCACACTATTTCTTTATTAATTATAGCCTATGTGTTATTCTGATATGTAAGCTATATTATTGTAAACTTTCATCACAATCCATTCAGTCGTTTTTGCGTGAAAGAGTAACAAATATACATCCATACATTCTTACAAACTTTGACATCTATACTAATATTATAAAGAGGAAAGATTTGTTTGTTTGTTTGTTTCGAATAGGCTCCGAAACTACTGGACCGATTTGAAAAATTATTTTTCCATTAGAAGCCGACATTGTCCCTGATGAACATAGGCTACTTTTTATTATTATTTTTTTTTTTTATTTTTTTTGTTTCATGTGTGTTTTAATGTTTCCGAAGCGAAGCGAGGGCGGGTCGCTAGTTTATAATATTAGTAGGATATTGGATTTACGTAATGGCTAATAGTGGGGCGTGTCATAAGTCCGCGCGAATCCCGTATATGGCGAAGCAGGCGCGAGGCAGTCTCCCATAGATACAGCCCAATGAGTTTCTCGCCGGATCTTCTCAGTGGGTCGCGTTTCCGATCCGGTGGTAGATTCTGCGAAGCACTGCTCTTGCTAGAGCTTAGGGCTAGTGTTAGCAACAATTCCGGTTTGAGTCCCGTGAGCTCACCTACACGTTATGGTGAAGCTGAAATAGCCTCTCAAGGCTATCAGCATAGGTAGGAAAAAGAGGAAAAAAGAGGCGGTCTGAAAGATTGGATAGCAGATACACATTAAAAATGAGCCATGGCCTATATATCTCAAAGTGGACGAGGGCAGCATAACGTTTTTGAAGTCCTGTAGTCGCTAACATCTCAATAACCAGCTTAGTTCAATATAATCAATTAAAAAAAAAATAAGTTGTAATTTAAGTACCAATCCGAACCAAGAATTAATATAAATGTTTATTTTTATCCTGTTGATACCGCTCAGGATATAAAGACGAATTTATAAAGTTATTGCAACTTCATCGGACCTGGATGCGTGTGCATCATGTTAATCTGACTTGAAGCTTGAAGCCGCTGAAAATGACAGTCAAAAATTCATTTACACAAACACCTATATACACATACCACAATAATTAGCTGATAATTTTAATTCCCAGGTGTTCTTTTATTACTCTAGTTGCGAGCCTATTGTCCGAAACAGTAGAAATGTTTACATAACGATACGTAATCATTACAAACGCGACACTCGGTTCTCAAATTTTCATCCAAAGAGGGCGTAACACTAGTATCCATTTTCCAAAATTTTCCGAATATAAATAGGGCGTGTTTAATTAAACGATTTAGTGTGAACGGTATTTTATATTATTGCAAGGACGTAGTTTTGTATTTTTCTAATATTTTCACGTTATATACATATGTTTTATGCGGGAGAAATCAATCATCAATCGTAGTCATCGTAAAACTTATGTAATTATATATCTATCGTTGGTGGTTAGTTAGATGAAAAAAACAATAAGAAAAAAATACCAGGGGATAGATAGTTGAAGAGCCAGGCATGTACATCATATGTATACGCACAATCAAATTGTAATACAGAATATAATTTAATTATTATAATTTAAGAACGCGCGATGAATGGCTAAGTTGGCTAAGCGATAGCTCACTGAGTTTCTCGCCGGATCTTCTCAGTGGGCCGCGATTCCAATCCGGTCGTAAATTCTGCGAAGCACTGCTCTTGCTAGGGATAGTGTCAGCAAATTCTTTCAGTTTGAGCCCGTGAGCTTACCTGCCCGTCCACGTGAAGCTGAAAGCCCCTAGGCTACCTGTGAATAAGTGGAGAAAAAAACACAAATAGCGTCGTGAGCGTGATTTGGTTTAAATTACATATTTACAACATCTCGTTCAATTATGATAAAATGTAAAATAGTCAAAACTGCATAGGTAACATGAAATTACGTGCTTTTTAACACGATCTCGATGATAAATTTATGTTCTACTATAAAATAAAATATTACATTCTCGTTCTATAAAATTGAAAATTGACATCGAAACTTTGAGAGCCACTGTTCACAATCCTTGACAAAAGCATTGCGTTTGACAGATGCAAGCAATAATTCAGGCTCGCACACGCTGGACTGAACAGAATTGCCTCTCCTGGCCACTCGGATTAACGTTTCCGTAATTATTACTTAAAATTACACTGTCCAGAATTTATTAATTTCGCTAATCTGCACAACCTCTATGTTACATCAAAATGTGGCTACCAAGACTTTAAGAATATATTTGATGTTAAAGATTTTCTGTTGAGACGAACTCAATGTGAAACATATTTAAATGCTCAAAATGTTGAATACAAAACGTACCTAATATAATATATTTCAGTATCACAATTAAAACTAGTAAAATATAATTCATAAACAAAATATAATGGAAAAATATTGAAGGAACAAAACTTTTTTAATATAGCGTCATCTATCTGCTGTTATCTGAAATATAATGGCGAATTTCAAAAAATTCAAAAATAGTTATTCATGATTCCTGTAGATGGCAGAATAAGCTAACAGCATTTTTAATTTTTCAGGATTTTTGTCTTTTATGTACTTTATTAAGTTAAAATAGGGCATTATAAAAATATATTGGAAAATCAAATACATTATTCTCAAATTAAGCATATACTCAATGATCTCAGCTCTATACATCCCTATGCCCTATACAAATACAAAAAAAAGCTATATACAAACAACATGGTGGATCAGCTGTTTTCATTTTTCGAAAATTGGGGATTATTTTCGTGAAAAACGTATTGTAATGGTACAATAGCCATGTGTGAATTAAAATGGGTTCAATCGCATCTGTGCTACAATGGCACTGTCAGGTGTGTGGTCAAATCAACCCAACGGAGAGTGTAAAGTGCTTAAAATGCGAAACGAAAAGAATTTCGAGTCATGACGGCGGATCCTCCAGGGAAAACTGTAGAGATTCATCGTCTGAATACACGTCGCGTACGGGAAGAAGCGAGGGCACCACGCCAGGGTCGGAAGCCATCGTCATACCGACAGAAAACTCATTCTATAGGTGCGTCCTGATGCCTTTGTTGCTGTTCAGTTATTGATTTTTCGCGACCTCTAATTTAGGTTATATTTCCATTGTTGCGCGGGCCGTAACCAAGTTCATTAACGAAATTAATGCCCGACACCCTTTTATTAGTAGACGCGTTTCAGCAATTATATTAAAATGTAATTTTCATTGTTAAAATTGACACAATGTTCGGTGGGTATCCACAGGAGTCACGATCTGAATTTGGCAATAGACAGGTGCATTTATAGACAAAAATTTAATTCACAAGCTCATTTTATGATTAATGTTAAACTATACTAGTCAAAAAAGTAATATATTTACTCTGAGTTCTGTGAAAGTTCAATTAAATTAATTGACGAATACGACTTGACGTTTTGATGTCTACAACCATCGCTAACCACTTATTACCACGTGGGCCGTGAACTCGTTCACCTATCTAGTGCAGTAAACATTGCGCAGTAGAAATAGTATCCTTAGCTTCTTTATGAGTTTCACAAATCGTTATCCTTATTTGCCAATTCCAAACTTACTGTTAACAAAGAGAATTCTCAGACAAGTGGCTGTTCTCAAATAGTAAACTAAAAGAAAATTGAACACTACACCAAAACAGGCCTTTGATTGTTGAACCCTTAACATTAACCTGTTGCCTTTTCGATTATCCCACAAGAAATAACAAATCAGGCTCACAGCATCTCCAGATACATCTTTTTTTATAATGATATAATTTTTTTACAATTCCCTTTGTCTCAGTTAGTAAGAGAAATGCTAGAAGAGGAAATAGGATATTATATTCTCATAAAGTGTATTGTGACATACAGTGGATGGTCGTGCGTGGGGTCTGCACCGGAGGCGTCAAGAGCGTGGCGCTGTGGGTGCGGACTACGCAACGTATCAGCCGCCTGGCGCTGTGCAGCTTGTGACACTCTCGCTCCCCACGCACCTGTATACAGGTCAGCAATTAATGATTACTAGTACCTAAGTACATAGAATGAAAATCCCAACTTCAATAAAATGGATACTACTAATACAAAAGTGGTCTTACTGGTGGTAGGACCTCTTGTGAGTCCGCGCGGGTAGGTACCACCACCTTGCGTATTTCTGCCGTGAAGCAGTAATGCGTTTCGGTTTGAAGGGTAGGGGTAGCCATTGTAAGTAGTCTGAGATCTTTTATCTCAAGGTGGGTGGCGCATTTACGCTGTAGATGTCTATGGTCTCCAGTAACCACTTAACACCAGATGGGCTGTGAGCTCGTCCAAACATTTAAGCAATAAAAAAAAAGAAAAAAAAGAATACGTATTGAGGGCTGAAAGGCTATTTGGTATAAGCGACATTTCGCTTGATACACGACTTTTATCTTTGTAATGAAAGGTCCGTATTATTTGGTATTAGCATCAACAATTCAATGTTTTTAATTGAACTTCAATTAAGTTTACTCCATTCAAATAGCTGATGATTTATGTGGTATCATTAGTAAGGTTTTGAATATGTTATTGTGTTATAGTTAGTACTGAAATTGATTTCAGGCTCTCTGATGACGAGGAACCAGGAGGTCCAGGGATGACAGACAAGAATAAATCAGGTGAAGGTAATGAATGCTACCTATATCACTGTGAGTTATGTTTTTGATTTACTTACCTTCTAATAATATATTTTTTATCAGACAACACTATGATAAGGTCCAACACCCTGGCTGTACCAGCATACAGACCCACTTCGAGTCACCCCGACAGCCGCAGACTCAACCTCGACCTCCAGTCCCTCAGGTTATCACCAACACAGCTAACAGACCAAGCTCATGGCGTCTCCAGATCCCTTTCCCACGGCTCTGTGATAAACTCTCATAAATGGTGGAACTTGGATGAGAACAGGAGTACCATCAATCGGCCGACAAGCTTAATGCTCTCAGAAAGATATTCGAATACTGCCCAACACTACCCTAGAGAGTCGTTTTTAAGGAGCCTCCATACTGTTACGAGAAAACCTAAAAAATGCAATGAGACGAAATCGAATTGGGAATTGAATTACGTGAAGGAATATCAAAGGGAGCAGAGCAGGGGCTTGCATTTAAAGAAGTGGTCTTGCAGCAAGTGTACTCTTGAGAATTCTGGAATAAGAACGCATTGTGAAGCTTGCATGTCTCCGAGAGTATACGCACAAGCAAGAATTCCTAATTCCCGAGGCTTGAGCGTGACCACCTTAGGTCGCCACGAAACCTTGGGCAGGGAAGGAGCCACATCGCTTCCGTCGTCAGGTGGAGTTATGATAACAGTTCCCGATTGGCCGCAAACAGAAACCTCTGCGTTAGGCTCGTCGCTGCGTCGTTCGATCAGCGCCCAGAATTCACCAGAAATCCGGCCCACGTACCGGCGGTCCTTCTCCGAACAAACGAACGCAGAACGACCCACAGGCAAAGTCATATCGAGCAGAAGAAGCTTCAACGATTACCACAAGTCGCTGGCGAATTACTGCGGCAGTCTCGGCAAGACTGAGAACAGGAACGAATTGGCCGAGTCCAGAATCGAAGAGGACAATCTGGAGCTGATCGACAAGGAAGTCAGCTGGGATACGAACGCTGAAGGCGTTATTTACGCATTACCGAACAAAGGTAAATACAAAGACCTGAATCTTCAGCTGCAGGTCAACAACAACGGGACCAGGTACTCGTACGTTTCCGTTCAGGATACAAGAAACGTGATGAGCAACTCGCAGAACGAGGCTCTCTACTCTAACGACATAGGAGACGGAGATTACGCGAGGATTGATGAGCTCTTGGGCGCCGAGAATTGCATATCGCCCGATACGGCCAGTAACATCAGGACCTCGCATATCTGCGGGGCTGGGAAGGAGCGTCCCGGGAGCCCTAAGTTTAACATGCTGCCCTCTGTGGGGAAAGTCTCTCATAACCCTCGGGAGGTCAACAAAGAGACACAGCAGACCAAGTAAGTAGAACTTTGCGCCTCAATGTCAATTTATGGTTTTTTTTTACTTGATGTTTGACTCTGTTATATTCAGTCCTTCAGTACCTTTTTATAACATTACAATAATAATGATCTTAATTACTTTTTAATTCATATCATAGTATTAATGATAAAATCCTTTATACATTAGATTCACATGCTTTGATGTCTGAATTTTTATTATACTTGGGTCATTATAAACGTGCAAACTGAGTCATAAAACATTACGTCAAAGAGATGTGACAATGCCGCGCAACTCGATATCGATAAAGGGATGCCGTTCAGGTTCAGCTAGTCAGATGACGTGGTCGTTGATGACTGGTACATGTAAGGTTGTAGGTGTTTGTAAAAACTGTGTTATCTTAGACAATCCTACGCGAACCATGGAAGCATTATAATACAGCCTCTGATAATAAATTTACATGAAGACTGCTGCACAGACGATGACAGATTCTTAATTGATTAATAATTGTTTAGAATTATCTATACATTAATACGTGAAGCGAAAACTTTGTATCCCTTTTTACGAAAATTGCGCAGACGGAGGAGTATGAAATTTCCCACACTTATATAGAACATAGAGAAGGAATGCAGAATGTTAATTTTTTTTTTTCAATTATTCATAAAAATACATTAAATCAATATAAAAAACATTACACACACTAACATGTATTTGACACACACACGCATGCATACTATTTGCTTATTGTCAAACTTTTTTTATTGTATAGTCTGTGGTCAAATTGAGAATATATTAAATATTGTTTTGTCTTTATTATTATTTGTCTAAAGTGTAGTCTTGGCGAAATCTGAGAATAAAGAATAATAATAAATAATCTTTGACAATAGAACCATAATAAATGTTCAAACTTATAATTTCAATTAATTATAGTCGAATTTCAACTAGTACGGGGCCAATAGTTTGTATTATCATCTGTAAATAACGTTTTTTTTTGTGTAATTATATTGATTTATAAGTTTTATACGCTCAACACTAGAAGTGTGAGCGAGAGATCCGATATGTCTATAAGTGTGAGCGAGAGGTCTAATAAAAATGTTTTAGGACTCAGTTCACACGTTTGTAATGGCCTAGTATTGCAAAAAAAAGACAAGATTATCTCTCTGTCCAGTCGAGAGAGTCGGCTGTGGCAATGCGGCGAGTGTTGGTTCGCTTACAACTCGTGGTCGTCTCGAGCCTGCGACGTGTGCCGGAGCCCTAGGCCTCCACACGCCTCTGTTACATTACACGCACATTCCTCTAATAATCCGTAAGTTTTTACTCTCATGCATAGAACAACCTGTATGTACATACATACAGAATTTTTGTCATTTTCATTTTAGTATTAAAACATCGTACATATATCATATGACAAATATATATATACGCAAGACATACTGGTACCACCACCCTGCCTATTTCTGCCGTGAAGAGCGGGGCAGCCGTTGTAACTATACTAAGAACTTAGAACTCATATCTCAAGGTGGGTGACGGCATTTACGCTGTAGATGTTTATGGGCTCCGATAACCACTTAACACCAGGTGGGCCGTGAGCTCGACCACCAACTTAAGTAATAATTTTTTTTATTACACTGTAGATGTCTATGGGCTCCGGTTATCACTTAACACCAGGTGGGCCGTGAGTTCGTCCAACCATCTAAGCTATAAAATAAAAAGATTACACACCTATACATTAATAAAATATATTCCATACGCACACACAGAAACGCGTAAAAGATACAGAAAGATACAGTTTTAAACTGCTCCCGATATCGACTCAACTCCTCAATGACTAACAATAGTTGGTAACAATAATAATTAAACTATAGAGATAACTCAAAACAACTCGCTATATTAGTATACTAGACGTGTTCCGCGGCTTCGTACGTCTGAATTTTGTTTTTCAAAAATAATCTAACATTGTATTTACTCGGGGTAAATAGATGTTTTGTGTTATACAACATCTATTATATGGATAGGATTTGCATTAGATCCGTTCTTAGTGAGCGCCTGTGAATGGTGACGGTAATCCCGACAGGGGGTCCCTCGTGGGGGTTTGTTTTAGATGAGAAAATTAAAGGTACTGTAGGCAGCGGCTTGGCTCTGCCCCCGGCATTGCTAAAGTCCATGGGCGACAGTAAATACTCTACATTAGGTGCCTCCTGCCTACAAAGGAAATAAAAAAATGCACTATTTGTCCAGGTCGCGGTCGTTGAACCCCTCCGACCCCAGCACTAGCGGCACAGCTGCAGAAGCAAGTCACTCGGATGTACCTAAGAAGCTGACGGTGCCGATAGCGTCCCTGGACCACGACCTCAACAGTGACGAGCTGCTGTTCGCTGTCGGTGAGGACTATGTCGTAACTATGTCGGCCCCCGCTCCCAGCCTTCTGTTTGCGAAGGGCTTCTAACAGTTAATACGTTCTAATAATGCAATCTTCTTTTTGCTTAGAAAGTGCCATCTGGCAACAGAATATATGGACCAGATCACCTGATATAGAAAATATTTGGTGTAATTGGTCATTTAATGTCATTAATCAGAAGGGGAAACTGGGGGATACTGTGTGACCGCGCAGGTAGATACCACCTCCCTGCGTATTTCTGCCGTGAAGCAGTAACGCGTTTCGGTTTGAAGGACGGGGCAGCCGTTGTACTGTATAGACTGAGGGGTTCGGGCAGGGTAACGGGACAGTCGGCTCCGCAGAGTCGGCGGGTGTCAGCGGCGGCGGGGGGCAGGGCGGGGCGTGGCCGTGCGGGCGCTGCACGCTACTTAACGAGTCCCATGCCGCCGCGTGCGCCGCCTGCGCTGCCAGCAGGCCGCCGCCCGCAGACTGCTGGTGAGCACGCAAACTCACTGTACACAACATTCATACGTCTATGTTGTTAGAACGAAGTTCCTTATGGGACGATGCGGAGGGATACCCTAACCGGGAAAAAAACGTCCGTAACGTAAGATTTATAATAGTAATGCACACAGTGTACGGCTTAACTTTGTAATAACGTACTAAAAATAATAATTTTTTTTTATCAATACTTACATGCAACTACAAAAAGCTGCTATATTAAATACAGAAATGAAGAACTGTTCGTAAGTTTTTAAAAATGGAAGAAAACTCAACCAACGGACATTAAAAATATTTATTCCTTATTATCGTCGGCTTATTGCAAGAACTCATTAACTGCAAAAAATCACTAAATGCGTTTTTATCTATAATGGGCTCATTTTTGCATATTCTACAAAATGCAAAAACACGCTAATTTCTAGCTGGCCAATTTTAGCCGTTACGTCTTTGGTAGAAAATTGATAATTGCAACTTTGGAAGTCAGGCATTTACAAAGATTCACTAAGCAAAACTAGTTATTTTTATTAAATGGATAATTATTTGAAAACAGCATACATTACATTACAGAACTCATTTTCAGCATCTAATTAATTTTATCAAAACAATGTAGTATAATATAACTTAAAATTGTATTTCGATAAAATTCATTATTTACATTTAGTTAGTTTCTGTAATGAATCATTTCATCAGAAATGCACAATAAGTAATCTTAATGATTTTTATCGATATTAATATAATATAAATCAT